GATCATGGCTTCGATCCTTATGGCCTTCGATCACTGGCCTTGGTCATAGCCCTCGATCCTGGGCCTTCGATCAGTGGCCTTCGATCATGGATCTCGAGCCTGCCTTCGATTATGGATCTCGAGCCTACCTTCCATCCTCGGCTCGATTTCTGGGGGCTCGATTTCACAGCAGAAGAAAATTTGCAGCAGCTTTTGCACCAGCTGTTTAAGTCCTATTTTTGATCTATTAACCATCTGAAACTCACCCGAGGCCCTCGGGACCTCAACCTAATACACCAACAAGTCCTAAAACATCATACGAACTTATTTGAAACCTCAAATCACATCAAACAACGCTAAAATCACGAATCACACATAGATTCAAGCCTAATGAACTTTGAAACTTTTCAATTTCTACAAACAACACCGGAACCTATCAAATCAAGTCCGATTGATCTCAAATTTTGCAAGCAAGTCATAAATGATATAACGGAGCTATAAAAATTTTTAGAATCGGATTTCGACCCCGATATCAAAAAGTCAACTCCTCGGTCAAATTTCCCAAAAATTCAACTTTCGGCATTTTAAGCCTAATTCCACTACGGACTTCCAAATAAAATTCCGATACAGAGCTGTTGGAATCATCAAAATTTTATTCCGGGGTCATTTGCACATAATTCGATATCCGGTCATTATTTGAACTTAAACTTTAAATTTTTTATCAAAATTCCATATCTCGGGCTAGGGACCTCGAAATTTGATTCCGGGCATACGCCTTAGTCCCAATTCATGATACGGACCTACCGGAACTGTCAAAACACTAATTCGAGTCTGTTTGCTCAAAATATTGACCAAAGTCAACTCAATTGTGTTTTAAACATCTAATTCACATTTTAATCCATTTTTCACCTGAAAACTTTTCGAAAAATTTTACGGACTGCGCACGCAAGTCAAGGAATGATAAATAGTGCTTTTCGAGGTCTTAGAATACAGAATTAATTATTAAATTTAAAGATAATATTTTGGGTCATCACACTAAGAAAATAGGTAATGTGTGTATGATAGTATCATCAGTGTTATTAGTTGTTGTACCTTCCAAAGACATAGAACCAGGAGTGCTAGAAGGACTATGGACAGTGTCAGTAGTAGATGATGGATCCAATGAACATGTGACAACCAACATGGGAATCATCCCAGCAGTCAACAACAACATGATGTCTCAACTGATAATGAGAGGACTTGAAAGGAAAAACATCTTCCCTAAAAGACACATCTCTGCTCAAGTCTAATGTTCCCTAAAAGAATCCTGATAGACACTGGTATATCTCTATCTCCATTGGTATATTATGATCAAAATACATGAGAGTCAAGTCCAAGTTCAATTAGGGACAAGTTCCATTAGGAATTTAATAATATTAATCGAATAGTCAAATAAATATTGTAATCAAAATGCTGCCATATATTAACTAAAACCTTTTATTTACTATGTGTTTAATCCATTACATTGGTGTAGGAGGTGTAATTGAGTTCCACAACGGTGTGGAGATGTAACTTAGTCTCTTTATATGGTTTTCGATAATCCTCATCAAATGAGCCAACTTTCGAGGTAGAGTCGGGGCTAAGGTCTATATTCGTAGCGTGGTTTCAACCCTCAAATTATAGCCACATTGAAGAATGATGCAGATGGCTTTCCAAGCTTTCGAGTTAGACCTATGAAAGGTGAATTCAAAATATTCATTTTAAAATGATATTCATTACAAGATCAATGCTTTGCTAGATGCTCTTTCTTGTAAACTTCACTATAGATGAGAGGTAGTACTACTCTCAGCAAAGAGTCTATGTTGTAGTTAGCACTAATGTAACTTTTGTCTTAACACAACAGAGTGCTTATATTCTTCATAGTAAAGCTGTACACGGAGGGGGTGTCGACCCTTACCTCCACAAAAGAAAGCACCAAAAAACAAAAAGTTTACTCCCTCTGTTAATACAGGTGCTACTCTCTTAGTGCAGTTAGAAAATATAATGTCTATACGCCGGTACTTTAAGCACACCATTAACAAATAAAATTTTGATTATTGCAAAAAGATACTATAGGAATTTACTTCATTCTAATTTGATGCAAGAAGAAATTCGATTTTCTCCCTTCTAAAGAAACTAAAGATAAGAGGCTAGCCCTCGTACCCACATGAGACTAAGCTTTGCCTCCATTCTTGTATAAGGCTAAACAGTGCCTTCATTATCTGCATGAGGCTAAGCTCTGCCTCTATTGTCGCATAAGGCTAAGCACTGACTTTTTCCATTTGCATGAGGCTATGCTTTTCCTCCATTCTTGCATAAGGCTATAAGAGGATGTCTGCATATCGTAAGGATAAGAGGCTATCTGCATAACTACAAATACCAATAGTCTCAACATCTTTTCCAAGTTAAGTTGTTTCGATTTTTGATGGCATCCAAATCTTCTTCTTCCAATTATAAAAGGAAATCAATTTGGCCCGAGCCGCGAGTTAGTGATGAATACCATCTCATCATCAGGAATACTACTACAAAAGCAAGACCTCAAACTATCAGAAAGTTCAGAGGGAAAGGCAATAGCATGCTTTACCCATTCTTCACTGCTTTTAGATCTCTCCAAAATCCACAAATCCATCTCTCCTTTCGTGGACCGATCAACAACTGCTAACTTTCCCTCCAATTCTATCAAGTAATAAAACCACCCTTCCGGATCATATTGTAAATCTTTCCACCACGGGACAATTCTGAAATTTTCGGTTCTAAGATTAAATTCCACTATGCAGAATCTTTTGTTGTAAAAACCAAAGATATATATAGCTCCATTAATGTAAACTCCTCCCTTCAGTAATGGGAAAAAATCGACTGCGCTTTTGATCTCTCTCCATGATTTGCTTGTTCCTAGAGTGTAAACCCAATATCTCAAGGGTAAACAAGAATGTCTAACCAACAAAATTTTGTACTTGCTTTTATCTGGTTCGAAACCTAATGAATAGTAACAATCAGTTATCTTGTCAAAGATATTTAGGCGAGGAAGAGGTCTTACTTTTCTTGTAATGGGATTATAAATAACAGGGGGCAGCCGACTTGTACTACACCATAAGCCAAACAAGCCTTTAGCATAATCAAATTTAGGAAAAATTATTAAGCCACGCAATTTCCCAACACGAATAACAGAGGCTTTTCATGTTCCACCTCCACGTCTATGGTGTAAAAAATTTCTTTATCCCTTAAGTGTATGAGGAATTTGGCTTTATCAGGATGATGTATAGAGTTATATTGATGGATGTCTACGAAACACGAATCTGATACAAGAGAGCTATAAAATTTAGAAACGCACTTGAAACGCATTAAAGACTTGATAGGAAGCCAAAAGAATGTATCATAGATAATTTCGTCAGGAATGGAAGATTTTGTACGAGCAGTCTCCATCATCTTCTTTACATGAGGAATTGAAGTGTTTGTAGGCAATTTTACTAGGGTTTAAAGACGTAGCTTATTGTACAGGGCCATGCTTTATATAGATTTGTTTTAAGAGTAATTAGCTAATTTGCTCCCCTAACATATACTCTTTTGTTACATCTTATTTTTTTGTGTGTGATGTTTTGCACCCTAATCTTCTGAATTAATTACAAAACTAAAAAAAGTTACTATTTCTCTTGAACAAACATAGACTTTTATTAGACAAGTTTATGATAAAACTAGAAGCATATTCCCAATAGAACTAGATTTGCTTGCCTCTTAACCCGAGCCAGAGAAACATTAGAATTTCTCCTTAACAAGAAACGCCAAGCCTCTAAAAGACTCCAAACTCTGTAAAATCTTCACTTGAGGAGTCACAAGAAAGCACAATTTCTTGGGCGTCACATTCAACTATACCCGAACCATTAAAATGTTAAATCAACTAGACGAGAGCAACACGTAAACCTATAATTTCAGTATGCCTCGTATTGATACAACCTTGAAAAACCGACGAACTATAGACTGACCTGCTGAATCACGCATAATAGCCCTACTCCATTGCAGCCGAAGTATGGAAGACAACTGCATCTATATTATATTTCCAGATCCCATGTGGAGGCTTAGACCGAGAAGGGGCCACAATCCGAATGGAAGCACGCACTAGACCTCCCAATCACTTTTCAGTCATGGCAATCTTCCATTCGCTTAAAACTTTCAGAGCTTCAAATAACACATGCATAAGTAGGAGAAAGAACTTTACCATTCTACACAAGTTCATTCCTCATAATCCAAATATTCCAAAGAACTTCGGATAATACATAAGTAGGAGGAAGAACTTCACCATTCCACATCTTCCCACAACGAGATAATTCTGAAATTCTCGGTTCCAACATTAAAAGCAACTATGCATGTTTTATCATTGTAAGAACCGAAGAAATAGATAGTTCCATCAATGTAAACTCCTACATAATCAAATGGAGAATAATCGGGTGCATCGATTATCTCTCTCCACGTTTCGCTTCTTTCTAGAGTTAAAACCCAGTATCTTGTGGGTTCAGAAGAATGATCATAAGTAATCATCAAAATTTTGTACTTCATTTCATCTGGTTTGAAACCTAATGAATAATAATAAAAGTAGTTATAATCACGGTTTACCCGAGGAAGAAATCCAAATTCTGCGGTAGTGGGATAATAAATTAAAGGGGGCTGCGTGTTTGGACACCAAAAGCAAAACAAGGGTTCAGCATAATTAGATACAGGATGGTTCATTAAGTAATCCAATTTCTCAAAACGGAAAACAGAGATTTTTCGATGTCCGACCTTCAGAGATTCCCTCTCATCACCTTGTATTCGGGGAGGGTGAGAGGGAAGAATGGGGTAGGCATCTTGGTTGATAGGGATCTAAAGGAGTTAGTGGTTGAGGTTAAGAGGGTTATTGTTAGGTTAATGGCCATTAAGATAGTTGTGGGAGGGCATACTCTGAACGTAGTTAGTGCTTACGCGCCTCAAGCGGGTTGGACGAGGAGGTTAAAAGGCACTTTTGGGAGAATATGAATGGATTGGAGCGGGGCATACCGTCCACCGAGAAGCTTATTGTAGGAGGATATTTTAACGGCCACATTGGGAGGTTGTCTGGTGGATATGACGGTGTGCATGGAGGCTTCGGTTTTGGTGAAAAAAACGGAGGAGGTACTTCGTTGCTCGAGTACGCCAAATCTTTTGATCTGGTGATTGTTAACTCATGTTTCCTGAAGAAGGCAGACCACCTGATAACCTTCCGGAGTACGGTGGCCAAGACCCAGATTGGTTATCTTCTTCTGAGAAAATGTGATAGAGGTTTATGCATGGATTGCAAGGTCATCCCGAGTGAGAATTTTATGACCCAACATAGGCTTTTGGTTATGGACTTAGAGATCAGGTGGAAGAGGAGGAAGAGGTGTATACCTGGTATATCCAGGATCAGGTGGGGTGCATTGCTAAGGATAAAGCCCAGGAGTTGGGGGAGAAGTTGCTGGCTATGGGGGCCTGGAGAAGTAGCAAGGACGCGAGATGTATGTGGACTACGACAACGAATTGTATTAGAGAGGTGGCGAGAGAGGTGTTAGGGGTCTCGAAGGGTTTTTTTGTAGCCACAAAGGGGACTGGCGGTGAAACGAAGAGGTTCAAGGGAAAGTGGAAGCTAAGAAAATGGCATATTTGAAGCTAGTGGAGAGCATACACGAGGAGCAGAAGAGAGCTAACAGAAAGGGGTATAAGAAGGCTAGGAAGGAGGCAAAGTTAGCGGTTACGACGGCTAAGACCGCGACGTTTGGTCGTTTGGAAATTAGGGACAAAGGCGGGGACAACAAGTTGTACAAGCTAGCAAAGGTTAGAGAAAGGAAGGCCCGAGATGTAGACCAAACGAGGTGCATAAAAGAAGAGGAGGGTAAAGTTTTGTTGGAGGGGGCACATATTAGGTAGAGATGACAGCCTTACTTCCATAAACTCTTGAATGAGGAGGGGGATAAGAGCATTATGGTGGGTAAGTTAGAGTACTCAGAGCGTCATCGTGAGTTTGGGTACTGTATACGCATACGAAGGGTATCAAGTTGTTAAGCCATACAATGAAAGTTTGGGAGATGGTGATTGAAGGGAGGATGAGGCTTGATACGCTAGTTGTCACACCTCCTTTTTTCCGAGGGATAAGGGAGTTTTTCCAATTAAAGTGACATTATTCAAAATGAGATTATTTATTAGTTTCAGAGTCGCCACTTGGGATAATTTATGGTGTCCCAAGTCACCTGTTTATTTTAAATCCCAAATCGAGGAAATTAACTCTTATTTATGGTCTGCGAACACAAAAGACCGAGTAAGGAATTTTGTTAACCCGAGTGAAGGTGTGAGGCACTCCCGAATTTCGTGGTTTTAGCACGGTCGCTCAACTATTAACAATTGGCCTATTTATCTGATTTAATACATATTTGAAACATATTGTGCACTTTTCCTTTGACCGCTTTAATATTTATGAAATTTGTCTGAACAAGTTGCGATGTCGCGCACTCGTTTGTTTTTGTACATATTATGAATCGCGCCACGTGAAACGCACCCGCGATTTACATATCATGACTATGCCACGAAAATCGTACCCATAGTCACGATGATTTATTAATCGCGCCTAAAGCAAGCTACAACGTTCATGATTTAGTCGTATCTTCCTAAAACTACTATGAGACTATTGCAAGGTCTTCGCATATGGATAAGTATAATGGTATAAGGTGGGAGATTTACTCTTTATAAGTGGCTGGATATTCTACAATCCACATTCTGCCTTAATACACGAATACTAGGCGATTCCGTCATTTGATATTCAAATCTGCCTGACATTGGATCACAGGAAGATTACGAGATGAGTTAATCATGATACAAGTTGAGATTTTATAAACACAACAATCCATTTTTAAACTAGTCATTAGTTGATCCCTGAAATAATTCTAATGCCTGAATTAAAGCTAAGTGAACTATAGGCCAACAGGTAGCAACTTCAAACAATTGAAAGACCAAATTTGCTTTTAGTGAAAGATACTGTAAAACATATTTTTCTCGTGCATTAGTGCTAAAGTGAAAACAACTACAAACCACTTTAAATAGGAAGACATGCTTATCTGACATTCAAGAATTACAACTAATTTTTATACAAGAATCAGAATACGAACTTTAAAACATCAATCACTTCTATTACAATTCTCCATGAAATTGCTAAACTAATGAATACTTTCCAATTCGGATCTAATCTATCCACATAAACCTCAATCCACAACATGAAGTAGTTAACCTTCAGCATACTACCAGCGACAGAATCCCATTCTTTGGCTTAGAATTTTGCTGATTTGGCCAATTAGTAGCCAAATCCGCAAACTATAGCCATATGATCAAGCAGCAAAAGCCTTCTATATCCTCGAAATGGCACAAAATTACTCATCACATATACAGAAAACTATAATAGCTTTATGTTTAGCGCTATTGCTAAATCTGCAAGATTTAAACAAATTTCAAACATCATTTGAGATTATCAATCAACTCAACAATTAAAGACTCATACTTAGTTGATCAAATTTTCATAAGTGTTATATTTCAAAGCTACTTCACTGTTTCGATTTATGATTAAAACGAAAAGTCCATTAAATCACACACTAAGATAGAAACAAACAGATATTCAGAGATTAAACAAGAGCAGACGCATTTCTAGTCATTTGATAAGAGCATAAAATGCACAGAGATCTGGGTACTGACCTAGTTAAGCAAGAAAACACTAAGATATCCAAATAAGAACATAATCTGATTCAAACTCGAAGCTCAGCAGACAGCAGTAAAACCCAGGTCTTGAAGGTCAATCAAACTTGTAAAACCCCAACGAGATGAAGCAAGAAGACAAAATAGAGGAAAGTTTGGAATTTTCTCTATTTTCCAGATTGTTTCTTTTTCAGAGAACTCGGTGAAAATCAGAGTAACAGTGTAAAATCCAGTGTATTTGTGAGTAGATATGCAAAAAAACGTGTGAGAATATGAGGAAGAGTACCCTTTTATAGAATATGCATATGCTCTATGGGAAAATGAGATAAGGCCTAGAAAAGAATCCGTCAGCCTCCTAAAATTTAGGAAAATGGCATCTTTTGCAACTGAATTGGACAGCTGTCCTATTTCCAGATATTTCTTTTTATTTCTTAAACCTTTAGCTTCTGAAAATCACCTCTTTTACCCAAATCAGACCTAATTCTTTCATTTTATTGCCCTTTAACCCTTTTTCTAGAAGCTTCCTAAGGTGTAACAGAAAAGATTCTGCTGGTTCAAAACCTAAATTACCCTTTATCACCCCTGTATATACTCTCTTAGTTTTCTTTTTGCATCAACAAGCATTTTATGTCTTTGGGATTTAATACTCAATAGACCTGCCTGTCAAACAAGGCAGGCCCCAATCCATTTCGAACCAGGCCACAATCAGCATGATTTTGGAACAACCTAATGATAACCAAAACAAAAGCATTCCACATAGCTAAATAAATTCAACAACTAACTTAAATTAACAAAAAAACAATTAAAATCAAAATCAATTATCTTAAGACATCTAGCAACCTAACAAATCGTCTTCTACGAAACAAAGTTAACCTCCAATTTCTGCAAACGGACGACTTAGCCAAAACGTAATAACAATTCAAGATAGAAAGAAAGAACATGAGAAAGAGATATACATGTTGAAACAATCAGGACGACGAAATGATTTATGGCAGACAACGAGCACCGTCCGGAATCTGATAGTTTCGAGATGAGCTAAAACTTACATTAATCGATTTCTCTTGACGAGAGCAATCGATCAATGTCAGTTTCAAGTCAAAACGATCAATAATTCCTGAAGAACTCAATGGGGAATGAAGCTAGGTTTTTTGGCCCTTTTTTAGATCTAAAAATCGGGGGAAACTAAGATGTTTTAGAGGAAATTTGATATAGGATGAGGAGGAGGTGGGGATTATGGGGTGTGAATTTGAGGGAGATTGGAGCTGTTTGAGGTGGTGCCGCCGGGGTGGATTTTTGGGGCGGCTAGGGTTTGATAAGAGATGACAAGGAGGAAGATGAAGATTGAGGTCTGGTCTCAAGGGTATGGGGGTGTTTGAGACAGTTTTAAGGGAAGGGGTAAGGAGTTCCAGTCCGTTGGATGAGCTGAGATGAAGGGCCAGGATTAAAGGGGGAAACAGGGTCGTTTTGGGTCCTTGAAGGCTGGATCAGGTAGGGTAATTTGATTGGGGCGGATTGGGCAATTGGGCCACTTAGAGTTGGCCCAGTCCGATTTTAAATTCAAAACAACCCCCTTTTCCCTTCTTTCTTCAAACAATTATTTAACTTTAAATTGTAGCCACTCTACTCAATATTTCAAATTAATCCTATTTTGCAAAATAACAATTAACTAATTATTTCACTGAAAATGCAAGTAGATTAGCTAATATATTAATTACCTAATTAATTGAACCTAACAATGCAAAACAAAGGCAAGAGCAACTAATATATTTTTGTGATTTTTTAGATATTTTAATTATGCGTTTAACAAACGATGAGTTCCTAAAATGCCATGAAATGAAAGATAAATTTTTTAAAGATTTTTGCGATTTTGGCGATGCTTCTAATGATGCAAAATGACAAATAAAATTCCTAAAATTCTACGAAAATGGTTTAAAACTACTTTGAATATTTTTTAGGAGTAATTTCGCATAGGGCAAAAATTATGTGCTCACACTAGTCATCCCCAGGAGAGAGAGTTTCAAGTATCTGGTATCTATAACTCAAAATGATGGGGAGATTGATGAGGATGTCACACATCCTATCGGGGTAGTGTGGATGAAGTGGAGGCTCACTTCCGGTGTCTTGTGCGATAAGAATGTGTCGTTGAGACTTAAGGGTAAGTTATACAAGGTAGTGGTTAGACCGACTATGTTGTATGGGGTAGAGTGTTGGCCAGTCAAGAACTCACATGTCCAGCAGATGAAAGTAGTTAAAATTAGGATGTCGAGATAGATTTGTGGGCATACTAGGTTAGATAGAATTAGGAATGAAATTATTCGGGACAAGGTGGGAGTTGCTCCTGTGGAGGAAAAGACGCGAGAGGCGAGACTAATATGGTTCGGGCATGTTAAGAGGAGAAGCGCGGATGCTCCAGTCAGGAGATGTGAGAGGTTTTCCTTGGGGAGGGGAGGGGGTCAGAGTAAGGGTAGAGGTAGGCCAAAGAAGCCTTGGGGGAAGGTGATCAGGCGGGACATGGCGTAACTTGAGCTCACTGAGGACATGGCCCTGGATAGGAGGGTGTGGAAATTAAGGATTAGGGTAGAAGATTAGTAAGTAGTGATGCGTTTCCCTTTATCTTCATTAGTTCGTTAGTGTTAGTGTTGGTATGGTACCCTTTTATCCCGAGTTTGTTATTTTCTCTTATCTTGTTATACTATTACTTGTCACCAGTACTTCCTTAGTTGGTAATCCGTGCTCTTTCATATTCTCTATTGCTATCAGACCTCAGATTTAGTTTTTCTTAACAGATTGTCTTGCTATTACTTACTATCGGTACTTATTTCATATTCTTTATTGCTATCTTCAATTTAGTTTTCTAAATATATTGTCTTACTATGAATTGTTATCAGTGCTTCTTCCATCTTCTTTAGCCGAGAGTCTTTTGAAAACAGTCTCTCTGCCCTCCTAGGATAGGGTTAAGACTGTGTACATCCTACCCTCCCAGACCCCACTTGTGAGATTTCTACTGGGTTGTTGTTGTTGTTGTCGTCGTCGTCTTTCATCACCGTGTTTGCTACCTCATCCATAAAATTTTCTTTCCGTTTTGCATCTAATATTGTTGATCACGCTTAAAAATATGGAAGGAGATTTTTGCGTGTGATTCTTGAAGAGAAAGAACCATATTTGTTTGGTTTTATAATTTTTATATGTGTTTGATTAGTTTTGATAAGTTTATGATTAATAGCTAGAGGTTGGTTAGTTAAAATTTATTTGGGACATTTTTATAAGATTCCTAAAACAAAAGCGAAATAGAATAGTTGAATTGTGATACTCAGTCTATACAACATATCATACAAGAAATAGCACTCACAAATTAAATAATCTATATATGACTATGTAAAACAAAGACATAAGAGTCTGATGTGGCACTTATAATATGTAAGGGTTTATATTTATCTATTTTCTTAGAGCTTAAGAAAAAATAGTGCACTGTAATAGAAAACAACAAACTCGTCTTTTAACGCTCTTTCCGTTTTAAAAACTGATAAACAAAGGTGTCTCTTTCCGAAATGTCACTTTTTAAAGGGATCGTTTCAAAATTGTCAGGCTTTCAAAACTAAATACAAAATCCTAGCAGGATAATGATATTTATATTTAATGGCAGCAACATATTTTTATTTAAATCACAAACGTATTTATAAAAAACAAAGTCTTCCTAAAATCACGCATAACCGTATAACCTTTTAATTTTCACACAATCGTTTCTTAATTTCTCGCAAAAATGACTTTCACAAGAAATAATTATTGGTATAATATATATTCAATTAGCAATATTAATTATATAAAAGGTATAATACTCAAACGATGCCATTATATATTTATAGAATAATTTTGGTATATTTCATACTCAATTATATAAGTGGTATAATAATGGTATTATGTATATGCGTTCTATGTATATTTGGGTTTTTTATTTAGAATAATCTTGGTATATTTACATAATAATTATGGTATATTGAATGTTAAAATATATAAATGGCATAACATGGTAATTTTTATCAAATATACATTAGATAAAATATAAAGTATACATCTTATTCTTTTTCTTTTTTCTTTTTTATTTTTATTTTCTTTGTTTCTTTTTCTTCCAAAGTGAGAAGAGATATATAAAAACAGATAAGAAGGGCATGGGTAAATAATGATGCTTTTATGAAGATGTTCCTTTTTCAGATCTGAAGATGATGGATTCACCATTTCCGTTTGCTGGTCGTTGACAGATTTAGAGGTTAGAAATGGAAGGAATATGGTGGTTAGACTGAAAAGGGTGAAGATGGAAGATGAGAGGACGAGAGAGAGAGAGAGAGAGAGGGAGAATAAATATGGGGCAGGGGATACGAGAAATTTGAGGGGAGAGAGGATAATAGGTTAATAGGGTATAAAATTTATTAATTAATGGGTCAAATGTTCTTTTAAACTAATTCCTGATTTTGTGGACATGTTAATATTTTAATCAATCTCATAATATGTCAATACTGATAAAAATGTAAAAGAATTTGCTATTTTTGGAATAAACAAAAAGTAGTTTTATTTATGAGAATATTTTTTTAAAAAGGACCAACAGTGTAAAAACTCCTTTTTTTTTTTTAAAACCACTTTAGTTATGGCTCCTTAATCTCCTTCCCCTTCCCAAGTAAAATTTGGCCCATGCCCCAATGACCCGTCCACCCACTTAAGGTTGGGTTGGTTATTGACTCATTCATTTATTGACATTAGCCTATCTTGACCCAACACATCTCAACTTATTTAAAGTTGAGCTGATTTTTTGCCCAAATCGATTCATGAGTAATTTTGTCAAAATATTTTAGAAATAATTCTTTTTTGTTTTATATGTTATATATGAGCATAACAAAAGAAAAAAAAAGTCTTATTTAATAATTATACAATTCATTAAAAAAAATACATATTAATCAAAGTTTGGTAAGAGTTCGACGGCTTGGGTTATGACCCAAATTTTAGCTTATCTTGACCCCGTTCAAGTAATTTTTTCGCGGGTCATCAGCCTATTTTAACTGCGGCCCAACCCGCCAATTTGACATCCTTGGATTGAGTAATCTCAATTCATTACAAAAGATAGGTTAGATATTTACGTTGTTAGCTCCCACAATATGAGAGGGATTTAAACCTCTCCTATATAAAAAAAAAGAATATCACCATCAAGGAACATCAAATTGGTACACTCTATTGAGACTTCTGTTTAGGCAATGGTGGAGAAAGTTTACTTTGTGTCTTACACATCACGTTATACTTGTATGAGACCTTTTAATGTATGACATTTGGACTAGTGGGTCCCACTTTGACTCCCATTTTGGAGCATCTTTCTTCCTTTAGTTGTCTCTTTCTTCCCTGCCTCTCGTCAGCTGATCATGTGCTGATTTACAAAGCTTTACTTTATGTAAACCTTACTCCTCCTATTTTGCATCTCTTCTCTTTTTCAAATCCATTTTAAAAAGTTTATTCAACTATTTGTAGATATTCTGCGTCTAGGATTATATATTACTACTTTTTTTCTAGGGTTCTTGCAATCGCTTTAAATATTGCTGGAAAAATTCAAGACGAAGCAATAGTAACGACTGAAATAGCATTGAATAAGGGGTGTGGGATCTCTTAGGATTTACAACCAACCATTTTATTATTATTGATAGACGAAATCCCAGCTTCTAGCTTTTTATTCTTTTTCAAATGCTGCAAAACAAATTAAATGGTATCAATTTTGTGGACAGAATTTTCAAATTTTATTCCTAACACAAGGAAAACAATCTAATTAAAATTGTCACCATCGCAACCTGTGACTGCTAGTTCTGGAGAGGAAACCTTTCTTTTTCTTCTTCTTTCAGAGCGAGTAAGAAGGACCGAGGGAGGAGAAAAAGTATGAATATAGTGGTGAAACTGGGACCCACTTATCCAAATG